TCAAAAATGTAACAGCTTTTGTCTGCACACATTAAGAAGAGGGGGAGAGGAAGGATTTTGTTGTATTTTTAACTTACTGCAGGGTTGAATGCATCATTTATATCAGAGGAGCAGCAGCAGAACAACAAGATTTCATTATGCTAAGCATTGTTTGGGACACTGAACCTCTGACAGACTCACTCATGCAGACATTCATTCCTCCTCCCCACCCCATTTTTCTCCAGTGGCTGCATCACATTTCCCCTAATCCTGATGCATCTATAAACCTTCTTCCACACCATCTCACTGTTTAAATTGGACCTCTGCATTACTTCTAACAATGCGCCAGATTTTTCAATCCGTTGCATATCAACAATGTGACAAAGAAAAGGAGAAGTAGCCTCTCTGTAAAACAAATTCAAAATGTCGACCTTGGGTAATATTAGGCCAAACAAAGAGGAACAAAATGCAAAAGCTTATGAGGTCACAAATCTCTTAGTCAGCCAAGATGTTACAAAAGGAAACAGCAGCAGAGAAAGTGGAGAGCAAGGGTTTGGTATTTATGACCATGCAGTTTGCATAACATTTTCAGATGAAACAAAGAATGAAGGTTCGCAGATGTTCCGCTGAAGTTTATCATGTCATAATTTTAGATTTGACCACGAGGAGCCCTCAGACTTGGTGGTAACTGGAAAGGTAGATACTGTAAGCATGGTCCACCACCCTAGGAACTACACATCTGTACAGTAAGCTCAGAGTTGTTTCCAACTTTGCCACAAATGAAAGCTTATGTGAAATAAAACTTGTTGGCACAGTGGTTAAATTGCAGTAGTGCAGTGAAGACTCGGCTCACAATCCGAGTTTGATCCTGAGCTCAGGTAGCCGGCTCAAGGTTGACTCAGCTTTGCATCCTTCCAAAGTCGGTAAACTGAGTACCCAGCTTGGGGTGATGGGGCAATGTGTAGCCTACACAAATAAATTGTAAAACACCCAGAGAGAGCTTTAGGCACCAAGGGGTGGTATTTAAGCAAGACACTTCTAGTCTTTAAAGTTGGCCATCAGACACTTGTTTGTTTTCTTCCTAAATAATAAAATAGTCACACAACCCAAGTACAGGTCTGTCAATTATACTACATCAGCTGTTGCCAGACTGAAGAGCTTGGGCAATACACAAATAAATTGTAAACCACCCAGAGAGAACTTTAGGCACCAAGGGGTGGTATTTAAGCAAGACACTTCTAGTCTTTAAAGTTGGCCATCAGACACTTGTTTGTTTTCTTCCTAAATAATAAAATAGTCACACAACCCAAGTACAGGTCTGTCAATTATACTACATCAGCTGTTGCCAGACTGAAGAGCTTGGGCACATCTGGTGCTACAGAACTGTTGAAACTAAGCAGTTAAGACTCTGATTAGGGACCAGGATATGAGTCAGTGAGACAGGGAAGTATAGTGTCTATGGTACTGTGGCATATACACCATAACGCAAAAAAAGGCTGATCTTGTTGCAAAGGTGGGAGACCAATGGGAGCCCCATGTAAGGTAATCAGAATTTGGCTCACTGAGTAATTTATGATATAATTCTGCTGCTGGAGCTAAGAATGCCTAAACCTACAAGCTACCTAAGCAAGAAGCTACTTAGAAACTACTGTATATACTGTACATTTTTAGCAGGGTTGTCATATTAGCCGTCTGTAGCAAAACAAGAACGAATTTTATGGGAACCTAAAGCCTAACTAGTTTTGTCTGGCATAGGTTTTCATGGACTACAGGCCTCTGTGTGTGTGTGTATAACTATATACACATAATACATATTACATGCAGAGAGATTTATATCATTACTACTACTAACCCTTCACTGCTTTGTTATAATTATGTATATAATGGGGAGAAAAGCTGTAAGAAAGATGTCACCCTCTTGGGGGTTTTTCCCCATGAAGATTCTGTGTACATCTGTAAAACCTGCAGCTATCCTGAGAATGCTGATATTTTATTTGGTTCAATATATTTATCAACATGCATCTGCCTTTTCAAAGGTTATCTTCAGCAAAATTCAGAGGCATTTACAAGGTATCAGCCATTTTGCTTTCTGTTGCTCTTTTAAAAACATTTTAACTGTAGTAATGTTTTTCAAAACAAGACAAATTGATTGTGCCCTTCAAAACAAACCACCATGCCCCATATATTATAAGCTACAATAACAACATGGAAGCATAATTTGCTGAAGTAGTAAATGCATTGACTGAAGGAACACTGTAAGTAGGCATTTGTTTCCATTAGCCACTCAGAAAAGAAATGGCCAAGAAAAACAGAGACTTTGGGAACAACTTTGGGATTTCTGTTCCTGAGGCTGATGGAAACCAGAAACCTTTGTAGAGTTGAAACCAGCTCTCTGGGAAATGTGGGCATTCTTTCACAATGCTTGAGCACCACCCGGTAGCCAGCATATGAAACAGCATTTCTTGGAGACATGTCAAAGGTAAGAAATTAACACACAATAGAGACATAAAACGGAAGGTGTAAGCAAGAATGAAAGAAGCCAAACAGACAGGTTGTAACTGAAACTGTAGTCATTTGTGCATTCAGAATATGTGGGATGGATTGAACACAGACCATCACAAAGAACAAACAAAATTGTCTGAGCCTAGTTAAATTCCATTTTTAAGGCACACATCAATTCAACACTACCACTTGATCAGAAGTGGCTGGCATAAACATACACAGTTCTGCAATGGCGTGTCACCACTGTGGGTTAGAGCAGTGGTTCTTAACCTTTGTTACTCGGATGCTTTTGAACGGCAACTCCCAGAAACCCGAGTCAGGACAGCTGGTGGTGAAGGATTCTGGGAGTTGCAGTCCAAAACTCCTGAGTAACCCAAGGTTAAGAACCAGTGGGTTACAGCACCCTTCCTCAACTGGGTACCATCCAGAAGTTTGGATTACAACTCCCATAAGCGTGGCCAAAGGAAATTCTAGTACAATACATCTGGAGGGCATCTGGCTGAAGGAGGTCTGGCTACAGGAATGACAGTGATACCAGTAGCCTGATGGTAAATATACAGGAAGGCTCATTTTACATTTCAAATATTGCAAGAGTTTGACACAGCACTGTCTAATCTATGGTTAACTGCATTCACGGTTAATACAATCCAGCCATAAACTAGGTTTATCCACAGAAAAAAGAACAGAAGGGGTAAAGAGAAAATGATTACAGTGACTCATGATGTAGGGCACTAAATCAGTTGCAAATTACACCAACACAAGATCTTCTACAGAACTTGTTAATCATGTCTGAGAGATCAAAGGAATTATAAATAATTGACTTAGCACAACTTATTCATGCATACACTTAGAACATAGTTATATCAAGATAAAGCAGCAGTACTAGTGGTTTATCTCATATGTGGATACAGCTCCAAGAACTGGGAAGAATTTCAAGAGGATACAGAAATCTCAGATAGAAGCATATCTAAGTTTCATTCTGTATTCATTTTAGGAGTTCACCAACAAACAATCATGTGCAGGAAATATAACAAAGGCAAGCAATGACTAGTCATCTAAATAAAGGAAATCATTCTAATTTGACTTCTAATGATTAAATGCCAAATCATGGAGACCCTGACAATGGGATGTACACATGTGTATGTGCACATGAAGCATAAGGGTAATCCTTCTGGTTTCCATATTGGTTGCCACCATATGTAGTTCACATGTGTATGCTCCTACTATCTAGCTCTTTTGCAGCAAATCCGGAATGCAATGAGTTGAGTTACATGTTGTTATAGTTATATGACTGAACTCTGCATTTTAGGAGACAGACAAAACTTGTACTCTACCCCTTCCAAATTCATTATATGCATTCTTCCCTATGCTTCAGCACAGCCCCCTGGAGAATTTAGCTAACTTTCACAAAAGAATGTTTTCATTCCAATTAGTAAGAAAAGTAGTTCTGTCATTCTGACAAACGACTCTTGTTAATTGCTAAAAGATCTGCTACGGTACTATGCTGCTTGCACCTTAAATCCTTATTCTTGGCATATGAACGTATTAGAGACACTTGCTGTTAGCAGTGAGTCATTCATTACAAATCCCTATATTATTAAGTAAGGCAATTTGGTAAAACAGAGAATGTAATTCTACATCTCTTTGGGTGACTGCATATGTAGTTTAGTGACTTGATCAGGACAGACATCTCAACATGAAATCGTCACTGAATCTGTATGTATTTGCTACATCTGCTAAATGTAATCATACAGAAAAAATGGAAAGGTCTGGACTCTTTCATTTCTATTTTATTTTTCACTCTCACAAGCAATCTTGCTAAGTAGAAATTAGTTTTTAAAAGCATCAGAACAGCAAAATACTTCACTGCACATAATCCTGAGACAGAAATTATTATATCTGATCCTAACAGGTACTGAGATATTAAACATTTTCTTTATTTTCTATGCTGGTAAATGAAAATGAATATCTCATTGGCTATACAAGCTAAATGAACATTTGTTTTAAAAACAAGAAATACTATAAATACACTGGGTTTTATAGAATTTTGTAATAAACTCCTCTTCCTTTACATTCTTAATTGTTCCATCATGAAAGCCATTTATGTCCTGTCTGAAGTTCCTTCAGTGGCTAGGTTAGCACAATAAGTCAATTCTTTTGGACATGTGGAGCTAAATGGAAAAACCCTTCAGAATGAAAGAAATCAGTAGAGGACATATGGACCACACAAGAGATCCTGACTGGAACAAATGATTAACAAGATTTTAAGAACTCAAACTGTAGGTTTGGGTGATATCTCAATGGAGCTTCTGAAGTTAACAGATGCAGTCAAGAAAGTATGCATAAATACGCACTGACACTTAAACTGTGACAACTGCAACTGGCTAATACAGATCAGACATCAGGTGTATTGATTCCTTGATGTCTTTATCGAATTCTGGGAAGCAAACAAATGTGAGAAATTCTGGATGGAAAGCTTTCTTACAAATACTGCAGCAGAGTCTTGCAAAAACACTTACCCATCATTAGAACATGTCAAAAACTCTTCCTTTATTTTGGGATGCCAACAACCTGAATTAAGCATTGCCGTGTGTCCCTAAGAACAGAAACAAAAGCTATGGTTATGACAGCTGTAGTGGAAAACAGCATCTTACTAGAATGGAACACTGGTCACTTCACGATGGAGCAAGCCACACCACTGCCCAAGAAAGACATTGTTCACATGACTAGGATCTTTTGCCTTGTACTGCTGATTTTAATACTTCCTTGAAGTGTTATTCATGACCAAGCATAACAGGGGTTGGTGGAGAGAGCCTTGAATAGCAAAAAATTACCACTGGATGCCCACCAGCAGTCCTGATCCACTGGCTGATCAGCTCAGGACTCATGAGATGAAGCACAGAGCTTTAGATCAGAGATAGCAAAGTTTACCACTTTGTAAACCTGCTATAGAGCTCAACTCTAGCTAAAGAGAAGAACTGAATCTTACAATGAATTTTGGGCGGCTGAGAAAAACAGTCACTTCAGGCTTTCTTGTGTGATTCATTAAGTAAGACTTAATTATGTTCCTTCATTTCCTTACCTACGATAGCAGAGACAATTAAAGAAGCAGCAAAATGCAGAGTGACAATACCAGAACATATTGGGACCTCAATATTTAGCAGATCGCCTTTTCTCACCTAGATCTATACTTGAATTACCCAGCATAGTCAGAAGGGATGGTTGAGGGGCCTAACACCGAGAGAGGTCCGGAAAGAAAGAACAAGAAACCGGGCCTTCTTGGCAGTGGCCCCTCGACTATGGAACAGCCTCCCAACAGAGATCCGCCTGGCACTCTTGCTGGGTGTTCTTAAGAGCCATTTAAAGACTTGGCTCTCTAGGCAGGCCTTCCCTTCTATCAATTCTTGAATTCTATCTCCTTGTTTTTTTCATTCCCCATCTTGAATACACCATATTATTGATTTGTTTGTTTGTGATGTTTTATCATATTTTATGATATTTGTAAGCTGCCCCGAGTAGACGATGTCTAGGGGGGTGGGGTAGAAATCTAATAAATAAATAAATAAATACAATATTATGGAGGGAGAAGGACGAAACTCAGCAGAACACTGTCAATTTAAAGACAGCCTTTTATCCACCACAGTGTGTCACTCCATCCTGAAATGAGTTGTTACAAAGTTTCAGGACTCTAGAATCACTACACTGAGTGCCTATTCTATTTTGGGACTAATTTTTAAACTACTTTACATTGTTAACAAAATAATGATGTTGGAGTGTGAGTTGAGCACTCTTGCCTTGGTGCATGCTGGCAAGTAATCCTTTCTCTCTCCCCTTCAGAGAATGCCAGAATTTTGAAGGCAAAAACTCATATCAACACCCCTCCACACACAGTAGTCTGGGGAGCCAATTGTGCCTGTACAACAGATGTGAAGCTAAGCATTTTTAAAATATAACTGTTCTCCCCCAACCCCGCCACTGAGACCAGTGGAGATATTCTATTTCCTTCCTTAAACGAAGCCCCATTCCCCTTTTAGAAATACACACTCTTGTGAAGGTACACAACCATTCCCCTTTGTTAGTACAAAATCAATGAATTATCCACGTATATCTCTAAACACATTCTTATTTGACCATCCTTTTCTTACTTTGATATTACATGTCAATGTATCAATAATAGCTATATTCCACACTGTTTTATACCATTCATTTAATTGGAGATTGCACTTAACTTTCCATTTTTTTGCAATTATTTATGTAGCTGTTGTTACTAAATTTGTGATCAGTTCTTCCGTTGTCCAATTCCATTGTTCACTCTCAAATATCACTAGAAGTGCTATTTTAGGACATTTTCCTAAATTCAACTTAAGTATTTCACTTACCTCTTTAAAAACTAACGTCCAAAACTTCATTATGAAGCACTTACTTGTGCCTCTTGCCTCCTGAATTTTCAATGAGGGGCTGGGAATCATAGGGATGGGGCTCAACAGAGCTACTCTCAAATAATTGGGAACAATGAGCTGGGAGGAATCTCAGCCTAGTAACCAAAACTAGTAAGGCATCTCGGGATACCTTAAAAATTAAATAATGTGTTTGGAATAAGCCTTCACAAACAGTCCACAACAGTCCTCAATAGACAGACATTTATACAAATGCCAGAGGCGTGAGGAGATGTGAAAAGTAACAGAAATGCAGAAAAATCAAGCATGAATTTAATTTGAATAGTAGCACATGAAGGGTCGTTCAACAACCCTATGGTGGTAACTTAAATAGATTTTAATGATGGTCATTCGGAGGTCATTGCTGGATATCAGGTACACTGAAGCACAGATAAGGAGAGTAAGTTTTGCCTCATCTAAGTGTAACTGCAGTGTTTGGCCTACAGTTATCTCTGGTACAGGATGGAAACAGGCAGAACAGGAACGCAAACATTACAGATAAAGAAAATTCTCTCAACAAATTTAGGAGCCTTTAAGGGATCAAAAAACAAAAACAAACACCTTGTATTTGATTTTGCTCCGAACATACTAATTAGACTACCTTTCTGGAACTGTTAACCTATGAAGGTTCAGTCCTCCTGATTTCTGTTTTCCTTCTTCTTTGTCTTTGTCTAGCCCACAAACTTCATCTTTCACCCTCTCAACTGCAATTCTTTGGGAGAAGGGCAGGATATACAAACAAGCACATCTCTAACAGCACTGTTATTTTGGTTTTGGGGATGAAGGAGGGAAGGGTCTCCTCTTTTCGCCCCTGCCTGAATCTTTCATCAAATAATTTAGTCCTAGTGAGAATGAGAGAACCCTTCATCCCTATGTTTTGGACCACTGGGAGTAGTAAATAGAGAGAAAGGAAGAAATCTGGCTAATATATTTCTTATACATCCTCTCTGGTGGTCTCGGAGCAGCCTCCATCTGTGGTTCCAACACCTGCCCAGATGTGTGGTTTTCTCCAGCTTCTGCTGAAAAGTGGAACATTGCCCTTGAAGAAAAAAATCCCTCACTTCTGCCCTGTATATGTTAAACTACCCATTAAGTATTAAATATTATAATTTTGCTTGCCTTCCATAATTTAAATATATATTTTTTAAAAACTACTTCTTTGCTTACCTTGGTATTTGCCATGTCTACGATATACTGGTCTCCTTTTACACACTCCATGACTGGAAAACCATCTCTGTCAAGGACCTTAGCTTGAGAGTTGCCTGAGACGACTAGAATGACATCTCCTGTGCTACTATATTGCAGAGATTTTATCTGGTGACTGTGGAAGAAATTGTGAATGAAGTTGTTTACATCATCAGGGTTCACAGTATTTAAATAGATACTAGGCTACTTGTAGGGAAAAAAACCCGACAGAAACACATGAAGCATTTATTATTTCTATACCGGGAAACATACCCTTGATTTAAACAGCAAAACAAAATAAGAACTTAAAATAGAGTGGGTAATTCCTGTAGGATCAGAGTAAACACTTTGACTGGGTAATTGTTTCGGATCTACACACCTAAAGAGGTGTCACCTAAGGGGAAGGAGCTTAGTTGGGTTTTCCATATTATAATGCATATTTCCTAAGTATTATAAAAGTCAGGCCAACGTCCTACAGAGGTTTTACACTGGCATAAAGCATTTAATGTAAATCTTGTTAGCAAACTGCTGCAATTTAAGAAGTTAGTGCAAGCATTTGCTGATTCTCAAGTTGTAGCAATTTATGAACAAAATTTACACCAATTATTTTACAGTGGGGGAATAACTCATTGGATTTTGGCCAATGAATGATTTACATATATACAATGCATATTATATATGTGTGTGTATGTGTACATATATTTAACAAAAAAAAAATTAACATTAAAAAAACCTTTTTCCATAAACTATGAGTGGTTGCAATGACCAGATAGGCGGGGTATAAATAAATAAATAAATAAATAAATAAATAAATAAAGAAAGAAAGAAAGAAAGAAAGAAAGAAAGAAACAAACAAACAAACAAACAAACAAACAAACAGACTCAGATGTTAAGAAATTATTATTATAAAACATTAATCTTAATTCAATAAAATTTGTTACATCATTTACCCCACCCATTTGAAACCCAACTCATCAACTTGTCAAAATTAAACATTACATTTAATTAATTATAGAATAAATCTAATTAATTATTGACTAATTTTAAATCTAATTTCAGAACCAATGGCATTTTAAATTTTGCTTTATTATTTATTTATTTATTTAATTTATTAAATTTATACCCCACCCATTTAGACCACATCTACTCTGGGCGGCTTACAATAAAAATAGCATAAAAGCAATTAAAACCAGCAATTTAAGAGTAACAGGATAGGTAAAACAGTAAAGACAGGCAAAAATTGGAACATCTGTATTTCTAGTGCATCTAACGTTACTTTTTGTCTCACAACTGCATAAAAAGGTGGTTGTCTTAAATTTCTCTTGAGTGCCTCCAGTGTTGGAGCACTCACCACCTCTTGAGGTAATTGATTCCATTGCTGTACTGCTCTAACACTTAGATTTTTCCTGATAATCTACAAAAAACTGGCTCTCTGTCAGTTGAGCCCATCATTGCATGTCCTGCACTCTGGGATCACTGAGAACAGATCCTGCCCCTCCTCTGAATGACAGCCTTCTTTTCTCCGAGTTTCTTTCAGTCTTTCCTCATAAGACTTGGTTTCCTGCCCTCTGATCATTCTTGCTGCCCTCCTCTGAACTTGTTCCAATTTGTCAGCATTCTTCTTGACAGATGGACATCCACGCTACATTGCACTGCTACTCTGTTACTGAACAGACGTACCATTCACATGGCTGCAAAGATCGGAAAGCTTGAAGAGATGCATCCATTCCAGCAAAATCCCAAAATCTCACATCATAGTCATAGCCTCCAGTTATTAAGCGGGCACCTGAAGGATCCAACCCTAAAGCAGAGACCTATAAGGCAAGATAAAGAAACAGGCTGTAACGTGGAACTTCTGCAGAATGATTCATTTAATTTTTTGTGCTTTCAAAGACCTTTTGATATGCATTTAATTTTAATTGGAGAACAGCTTGCATCAAGGACATCACTTAGAGAAAAATACAGCATGATGCCTTTTCCGTGCCCTCCCTATGTGTGTGTTTGAGATTGTAGAAGAAATTAGTTCCAACAAACATGTTTATCTGTAACATAGTACCTGAATTTTATCGTGTATAAGACCCCCCCCCCCCTTTTCTAATCCAAAATTAAGAAATCTAAATGGGGCTTAGCAAGTGCAGGGGAAAGAGATCAAAGTGCTGCAGGATCGCTTTGATCCCTGCTTTCCCCTCCACTTGTTTTTTGTTCTCTCCTCAGCTTAATTCTGTGTATAAGACGACTCTCAGTTTTTAGTCTAAAGACACTAGACAAAAGTATAGTCTTATACATGGAAAAATACAGTAACTGAAGTGTAAGATAATATAATTGGTCCATACAGTTCAAAACCAATGTACTGAATAAGGAAAACAGGTTGCTTCATTGTAGCTGGTTCTTTGAGTGGGCACCTGTGTATTCATACATATTGTCTAGGCCTGCAGAGACCCACAGTTTGTAACCTTTTTAATGGTGAGAGTATAGGTGGTAGCCTCATCCTTCTTATCTACAGTGCATGGATTAGAAAGCTCTCCTTCCAGTTCAAAAATCCAGATGACATACTGGCAGAATGCCATTCAACTGTAGGTGTTGAAAAGGGAAGAAGTGTAAATGTACAGATGATCACTTAAAGCAGTGGTTCCCGATCTTGGGTCCCCAGATATTCTTGGGCTACAATTCCCAGAAATCCTGGCCAGCACAGCTAGTGGTGAACGTTTCTGGGGATTTTAGTCCAAGAACATCTAGGGACCCAAGGTTGGGGACCTCTGACTTAAAGAATGAATACTAAATGTAAGCAACTTGCTCTGTGTCTCACATGTACAGGTAACGACAAAGGACCTTGTCTCAAAAAAAAAAAAAATCAGGAAGGCTGGCAGACTGGCACCTGTGGTCATTAGAACATAGTGGGGAGGACTACCTTATCAAAAGAAACACTTTTGAGATATCAGATGTGAAGGTGATACTATCAGATAAAGGTTGATGGCTGTGACCAAGCTGATGCTCAGCACAGTTCAGGTAAGGAGACTGTTTTCAACAAAAGCAGTGGAAGCAGTCACCACTCTGTGGGAATACATCCTCAGAGTAAATGACAACGGTGACATCATATATCAATATTATATACAGTGGGGTCTCGACTTACAAACTTAATCCGTATTGGAAGGCAGTTCTCAGGTCGAAAAGTTCTTAAGTCGAATCTGCATTTCCCATAAGAATGCATTGAAAACCGTTTAATCCGTATCTGCTCTTTTCGTCCATAGAAACCAATGGGAAGCTGCTATTCTGCCTTCTGCCACTAGAGGGGGATAATTTTTTTCTTTTTTCCTTTTGACCTAAGATGACTTACTGTAGCTTTTAAAAAAAGGGAAAAAAAGAGTTCGTAACTTGAATCTAAGTTCGTAAGTCGAGTCCATATACTCCTATGAGAGCGGTTCGTAAGTCAAAACGTTCGTATGTCGAGCCGTTCGTAAGTCGAGACCCCACTGTAGTTGTTACAACCCAAATTGGAAGGGGTTGCAGGAGATACTGGAGATTTTTAAGGACTGGAATGAGCCAGAAACAGTTGTGGAGATTTTCTAAATGGGGCTGTTCTCTGGACAAAAAAATTCAAGGAAACCCTCAGCATAATGAGGTAGATGACAGGAAGGAAAACAGTAGGCCAATGTTCAGGGAGAAATGAATTGTTTAGATTTCTTTATTTATTTAAAATATTTTTACCCCACCTTATACCATTAAGACAGTATTTAAAGCTAGCACAGTAATATACTAAAAAGGATCAGATAAATACCATTCCCCCCTCCCAAAAAAAAGCAATACCAAGAAAGCAATACTTTACACATAGGAAGAAAAGCACAGGGCAAAAGACAACTTTGTCCTGGGACCAATGGCTAAATCACTCTCAATGTGCAGACTTCGCCTGCATGCTGTGTCATGGCAATGGCTCTAAGGAAGACAATTTTACTAGACAGTAAATCCAAAGAGGTTATGATCAGAGGCTCAAAAGGGCATAAGGAACAAGAGATAAGATGATATAAGGGGCATATATGGTGGGAAGAAGGGGATGTGGGTGCAACTTTGTGATAAAATATCTTTGTCATAAAAATATGCACCTAAACCACTGAGCAGTTCAAAAACAGCACAGACTATTACAGCTGCCTCTTCTAAATCCAGAGGTGGTCTATAATTCCTCTTTTAAGGTAGCAATTGTGCTTGGCACTACAAATGCACATGTTGGTGGGGAGAGGATTGACTCATTGGTGGATCATATCCACTGATTCTTGCATTTACTTTAGATTCTTTTGTATACCATCTTTATTACTCCAAGAGTCTCTTTAAGGCTAGTATCATCCTGCACATACACGGGTGACCCACGACAGCTTTGAAAATTAGACCATAACAAATGGATTGTAGTAAGTGTCACAGAGGACAAAACCACATTAGATGGTTACTGCATAAAGACCATAATCAACCACCTTTATTACTCCAAGAGTCTCTTTAAGGCTAGTATCATCCTGCACATACACGGGTGACCCACGACAGCTTTAAAAATTAGACCATAACAAATGGATTGTAATAAGTGTCACAGAGGACAAAACCACATTAGATGGTTACTGCATATATAGCTAAAGCAGCTGTAAATCGTGAATACAGAAAACATGACACTCAGCATATCTTGGCTTACTATGTAACACTTTCCACTGCTCACCTATATGTCAAAACTGTCAGGGAGAAAAATTTATCCCTGCAGTTTCACTGGGAAAAACACTCTTGTTACAGGCAAGGCAACTGGGAAATTAATTAGGTTTCTGGAAAGGATCTTCAACGTGGGAAATCTGTTCTGATATTTCTCAGCTGCACAGGAACACAGTCATCAACAGCTTAAATTCATTAGTTTGAAGAGATACAGATGGAAGTCTTGGTGACCTGACCTTACACAAGAACTGGAAATAAGGCCAATGGGAAACATAGGTCTTTGATAGCTTGCCTCTGGAGAGCAACGCATGGAAGTGGAGAAGAGGCAGTGAGCACAGCCAACTTGGTTCAGCTGGCAAAGAGCTGCAAGGCAAGGTGAACTGCAGGCACCCCTAACTGGCTGCTCAGTACATTGGTGCCTCGCTTGACGACAATAATCCGTTCCAGCGAAATCGCTGTAGAGCGAAATCGTTGTCAAGCGAAAGTAAAAAGCCCATTAGAATGCATTAAAAACCGGTTAATGCATTCTAATGGGTGAAATACCTCATCGTCCAGTGAAGATCCTCCATAGGGTGGCCATTTTACAATCCCTGAAAAGCGAAGAATCAATCCTAAACACAGCGGAGAGCCATTTTGTGACCCACCAATCAGCTGTTTCAAAACCACCGTTAAGCAAAAAATTCGGTTCCCAAAGCAGGGAACTGATACATCATTAAGCGAAAAAAATCGGTTCCAGAAGCAGGGAACCGATCGTCATAAAGCGAATTTCCCCCATTTAAACATCGTTTTGCGATCTCAAAAACCTCATCGTAAAGCGGATTCGTCGTGGAGAGGGGTAATTGCCTAGTGGGGCGCCACTGTACTGTTTTATCACCCAGTGTGAAGGCTGAGATGAAACAGGTTTAAAAGTAAGCCACCAATTAAAAACAATTGACAAAGAGGCCATCTCTAAAGACCTGATTCAAGTTGTTACTGAGATGAAACAGGTTTAAAAGTGAGCCACCAATAAAAAAAATTGACAAAGAGGCCATCTCTAAAGACCTATTTCTCTCAAGACTGCACTTGGTAGCCTCTTCATCTGACAATTCACAGCAAACTTGCACTAGCTGCCTATAGCGGAATGGGTGGGTGGAGGAACCACACAGTTCTACACTTCTCGGAAAATGCATAACTGAAGGACCTACATGGGTGGAGCCAATTATATGGCTTGTTATTCTCCTCCATGGCCAGTGTGAATGCACCGCCTTGTCTTTAAAGCTCTCTGTGGCCTTACCCTATACTTTCTTCCTTCCTTGCTTCTTATTGTAATACCTGTGACTGGCTAAAAGTTGCAGAGTCACAACTCCTCTTGATCTGTCCCCCAAGCATATGGTGTGGTTTCTATCCCCCACCCCTTTCAGGCTCTGAGGCTCCCTGGGGCTTCTTTTTACCCTGGGAAAGCCTCTGCAAGATGGAGGGAAGCCTTTAACACTGCTGGATCGCTACTGTCATTTCTGATCCCGGCAGCTGCAATCTGGCACCAATTTAACATGCATTGGCTCACATACCTGAGTAGGCTGCAGGTAGATGGATAATTCAATAGCAAGTAACAATGTGAGAAGCTCTCTACACAAAAGTTTTAATCACAGAGCTGCAAAAAGATAATTACCGTTTTTGTTCCATGGTGCAAGGTTATTTCATGGGAGTCTGGAATCTTCTTCACAGGATCCTAACAAGGACAACATCGTTAAGAAAAAATGTTTAGTATGGACATAAAACCTAGTTCTCCAGGAAAATAGAAGAAAGAACAGGAAAAAAACTTGGAAGCAGTAGAACAAAACTGATTAATTAATCTAGTTTACTTTGCCTCAAAAACTGGGATTCAAGGCATCTCACAGGATTTTTTTTTAAGTATAAATAAAAACACAATGAGTTAAATACAGTGGTTAATCCCAACTAGAGTACTCCACAACTTGGAATTGCAATGTTCATACTCACACAAGTCTTGCTGATTTAATGGGACTGCTCCATTTGGGAATAACAATCAGATTTGGACCAGTAAATTGTGTTAAAACAAAATTACACAGAAGTACAACCAAATTAAAAGCAATTTATAAAGTACATAAATAAAGCAGGACCACACGCCATGTTAGGAGTTCGTTCCTCTACAGCTGCCCAGTGATCAAATCAAACAAAGCCAGTTAGACTTATGTGCCAGTTTATCAGTACATATCTCACAGCTTTTAGCAGTGACGTAGACAGCTGGCTCACTTGTAACATCACCTAGTGATACAACTGATCCTCAGCTAGAAACAATATTGGCCATTACCCTGTTCATTGTTTTCAAGAACATCAACTATAGAGGCTGCCAGACAAGTCTCCCAAGATGCCATTTGTATGGTCTGGTCATGCACAACCAGCTGCTCATCACACTCGTATCATCATCATCATCATCATCATCTTAGAACTACAGAGCTACGGACCCTATGGATCATCAGGTCCAGCCCCTGCCAAGGAGGCACAGTTGGGAATCAAACTCCCAACCCCTGGCTCTGCGGTCTGAGATCCTTTTGACCATGCCCATGGGCTTAGGACTTCCACAAAATGGCTCACTGCACACAGGTTTAAATATAAACAATCAAATGCTTACCATATTATTGCATGAAACATATTTTTTCTTTCATCACAGCAGGTAACACTACCATGCCCATCTTTTTCAGATTTTTAAAGCACCCCCAATTATCAAGCTAGTAGCCGGAATCTTATTGGTTTTGCCATAAACCTTGTATAATTTGTTGTGGCTAACTGCAGCTAATTGAAGAGGTGCTGGAGCATGTCCTGGTAATGTGCCTGATTATACAATTGACTGCAACATAGATGCACCCAGGCACCCCACCAATTAGCTGCAAGGAGCTGCAGTAAGTTAGACAAACTTTACATGAACACCAGTTGGATTCAGGTCAATGAGACCAACAAGTTCATTAAAATTAACAGAGGAGAATCACATCAGACCCTATTTCCACCTATCCTTTAACCATATTCTATCCAATAATTAGGAATAACGTAAACAGCCTTACAGGGAGTTAGACCATTAGTCCAATACTGTTGTTCATACTATATTGACAGAAAGCAATTTTCCAAGTGTTTGAAGAAGAAATATTTCCCAGCCTTATGTGGAGGTGTTTGTAAACTGATGACTTATATTAATTTGTTTCCTACATTTTAGTAGTGGAAATGACATCCTAGCTGGATCAGGAGAAACAAAGGGAAAAGACACAAGAAATAAGAACACATACACCATTAAACATTTAAGGAAAACAGAGAGGAGCAAGACAAAATCAGTAAGAAAAGTGGAATTTAAATATATCACGGTGACCAGCCTGCTCATAGCTTCTTTTTATTTCCATTCAAAAATAACTGGTAGGAGGCTGGGGAAGATTAAGCAGAAGGGTTTTTTAGGCTAGGAGCAAGAAGCAATTCCTGACATACAGATTTCAAGTGATGGCCGCAGCTGCCACCTGCACTGCACAAAATGTGCATGTTCGCTCTTGGACTTCCAACAGCCAGTTTGCAAGGAAGACAGTCTGAAAAGAGAACACTCACTGTGCAGTCCAAGGGATTCCAGAGTTTTAAACAAGACTGTTTAATCAAAACAAAAATTAAGATAACAACCTCCTGAGACATGCCTTAGCATAACATCTCTTAAAATTAGCCAAATATTTATGGAGAATCAAACATGACCTATCCTAGTTTAGAAACTCTAAACTTCCTAAATTGTGAAATATTCTATAAATATCTCAAAGCCACCCCCCAAAAATTGTCTATATATGAACACTAATTCAGTTGCAAGTTGAATAGTGTCCAATCTCTTCATTCCAATGAACTAGGAACATCAGAGAAGAATGTTTCATGCTTAGAAGAAAAACTTTTAGGAACTATATTGTAAGGAATGATGACTTCTGTAATAGAAAGCACTCAACGTTCCTTCAAGTGTTACCATAAGCCTGGTTAAATATTACAAGGAAGCATTTCTCTAACATAGAACTTCACATAACTAGTTCCCTCTGTTTCCAATGCTCAGAGACAAATGCTTGGACTTATGTTCCCAGACATCAACACACACACAAGAAAAAAAAGTACTGTATTAACATCCTTGGTGGAAATCCAAGGTTTCCAGAACTATAAAGAAATGGAGGGGGGAAGGAGTATGTTTAGTGGCCAAGGAACACAAGCTTTTAAGGAATGGGACACTGGACACCCAGGAGAGCCAGAGGTTAGGAATTCAATTCCCCACTGCGCTTCCTGGGAGAAGAACCAGCCTCTGTAGCCTTGGACAAACTGCAGAGCCCCAGGGCACCCCCAGGGGAAGGGAATGGTAAACCACCTCTAAGAATTCTCTACCTAGAAAATACTGGAACCAACCATCATAAGTCAAATCAACTTGATGACATGTAATTATTAAGCTGAGAATATGGCATGAGCAGGTGTGATACGGTGATGACACTACTGGAGTGCAATCTGAGAGGTCCACGCTGAAAGCCTCATTCATCTATTAAATGCAATAACTGGCATCAGATGAGTCACTTCTTCTCCGTTTAACCTAGCCTAAAGGATTGCTGTGAGGATAAATTAGGGTGAAAGGGACCTACTAATTTCTATGGGCAAAAGGTGAGATACACCATAAATGCAATTAATAAATAAAAATAAATAATAATTGGTTACATGAAGATGTGAGATGTAATCCTAAATTTCCTAATTCATAACTCACTCAGCCTCTTAGCCATTATGCTGCACCAGCTTTCATTATTAGGCTGGTCTCATGAGTCAGGGTATGTCTCCAAATAACTGGCATTGAACTGTCCACTCAATCAATGTTAAATTAATTTTGGGGACAGAAAACAAAATCAAACCTAATCAGACGTTGCAGTGTACCTCTGTAATGTCAAATCACTCATATAATTTCAAGGCTGATGAGATCTGCATTATCAGACACAGTCGATCTTGGCTATCAAGATTGCTTTCCAGTATCCCTGAACAGATTCTAGAAAACAGAACAGCTGAGTTGCATTCAGGCACAGGAGAAAATGACCCAGCTATTAAAACAAGATGTAAGCTAACAGACTATGAGTCACAACTGGAGATCGAGGTATTCATATTTGTATATGAATATCACTGCACAGCTGGACTTAACACGGGTCTGGCTCTTGGGGCCAGATTGTCCAGTCATGTGTCCAGCGTCTATCATTCCATTCACTCTCAGAGTGCCGCCCTCTTCCTGCTCGGCTAGCCACTCTAAGCAGGGATAGGGAAGATGAGTGTCTCTGCACAGCTGCTGAGTGGCCAGCCGAGCAGGAAGAGAGCAGTGCTCCAGGAGCGACTGGAAGGATGACTGGGGCTGCCACCCCCAGATGTGCGAGTGAACAGTCTGGCCCCATCTCTAGGCACAATCAAAGATACAGCAATGACCAGTGTTCATTTGGTAGTTTTGAGCAGCTACTGAGTTCAAAGATAAGATACCAAAATCTAGTCAAGAGCAAGCTGATCACAGGTTCTCACTAATTCAGCTGATTTTCCACTTCCCTTCTTCATCACTCTTTATATGATAATCAAGAAAGAGAGCAGAGGTATTAGTGAGTAGCGAGGTTTTCTTTCATCAACATTTAGCAACCTGACAAAAGTGAATCTGAAAGGCAATGGACTAGTTCTTCCAGTCAACAAATAACGATGGAACAAGTGATGTGGACAGTTACTATGATTTTCCTCCATAAAAGGTTTCCGTTTTAAAATATTATTCTTAAAAAAAAAGCCATAGGTCTGCCATCTGAAGATAAATCTTGCTAAGTACAGATAGGCAGGCTCTCCATCAAAAAGTTGGCCAGCAAGGGATGAATCACCCATAGGCGTAGCATTTGTGCGTGGAATAGTTGTGATCTGCATCATTAAAACAGCTACATAAAAATGTACAATGAAATCATTCAAACTGCACAGAGTGGGGAAGCAGCTTAGATGGGGAAATATTCCCCACCAAAAATCTTCACATTTATAGAAAATTTACATGTCACAGAAAACACTAGCCTGTAATAATCAATAGGACTTCCTTATCCATGGGATGAGTATCGGATGATACACTTATCCACAGTCTGAAAACATTAAAAGAAAAATGGCCAAAATACAGATTTCTAATAATGAAGCTACCAGAGGAACTGGCTACTAGAGGAAGCCGAAGACCGTACTATGTATAGTGTTCACTATTATAATAGCATTTGTTATAATCCACATTTTTTCAGCATCCGTGGAGAGGGAATCTTGGAAACGATCCTTTGCAGATACAGTATAGAGGTCCTACTGTAATTGGTATTTCCATGTAGATACTATGTATAGTTTTCACTATTATAATAGCATTTGTTATAATCCACATTTTTTCAGCATCCGTGGAGAGGGAATCTTGGAAACGATCCTTTGCAGATACAGTATAGAGGTCCTACTGTAATTGGTATTTCCATGTAGTTAGGAGTCCTACTGTAATTGGTATTTCCATGTAGTGAGCTTTTTGCACACATATATTTCATTTGCAATCTGACACAGCCCAAATGCAAGCATACCAACTCATTTATGGCTTGCGAGAAGCAGGCCAAAATGAGCAATGCCGGACCACAGAGCTGAATTTAAGAGGCCTGCGTAGACAACGTTATCCGAAACAATGTTTAAAATATCCAACTGAAGCCTGTC